AACTAGATTCTAACACAGGTTTATTTTACTGCAGAGACAAGACTCCCCCACACGCAGCTGCTTCATTAATGGAAATGTTTAGATGGCTGAAAGACATGGACTGAGTGCCCTCAAAACTCTGGAGCAAAGCAGTGCAGGGTCAGCAGAGGAATGGGAGTCATGAGTTGCCTTTGAAAGGTTCCTCCAGCTTCTAAGGAGAGGCTGAAGCAGACAGAAAGAGATGTTAGACATGGCCCGAGTGGGTCCTGTAGCAACTTGGTTTTAGTTTGACATGGGGAGAAGATTCTTAAGAGGCTCTAAGGTGTGCAGAGGGAGGAAGAAAAAAAGATTTCTTAACCTAAGGACAAGGTTGAGAGAGAGGATACAGACCTGAGACAGGGTAGTTATCTCTTCAGATCTGCAAAGGACCATAGCCTTAAGGACTGTTTCTCACTCACCCCTGAATATGTTCAAACATGTAAGGTATGGAAACTACCATGCACACACATGCTTGCTATAGTTAAGTGAATTAGTTGCTAAAAAGAAGTCATTTTTCCTCCCTAATCCTCTGGCACTTGTGTCTGAGGTACTCACCCATTTTCATTAGTCAAGAAACTTAACAACATCGAAACTTTCTTATAGATTCTCCTTGATCTCTTTGAGTCTCCATTACCTCATTTTATACCATGGACTTAATAAAAACAAGCAATCCCCTAAACTAGTACTGCTCAATAAAACTTCTTTAGGTGAGAGAAATGTTCTTTATCTGCACTGTCTCATATTGTTACCACTAGCCACACGGGCTCCTAACTACTTGAAATGTGAGTGAAACAACTGAGGAATGATATTTTTAATTGCATTTAATTTTAATTAATTTCAGTAATCATGTGGCATATTGGACACAGCAGCTCAAGATCAATCAATTTAAAGTGTTTTACCTCTTTTTAAATTTCCTATCTCATGAAGTTTTTATTGTGGATTATTTTTACCAGATTAATTTGCTTTTGAGACCTTGACAGGGATGGAGAGACATAGAACATCTCACAAAAACAATTCCGTAATTCACAGGTATTCATTTGACTCTAAAAATTAATGTTGATAAAAAGAGAAAGGAAAGTCTGACACACGTGTGTACTATTTTGCATTATATACATACGCTGAGGCAGAGCAAAAAGCAGCACAACATACTTAGCTTGAAAATAGCTTTGTCCTTGATATGTGACCCCAAAAATCTGTACTTTGAGCTAATGCAAAGGCTATGTCTCTTCCTGATGCCCCTTCTTGCAATCATTGACTTACCAGATCCTTAAATATCACCATGAAAGATATACACACACTTACATATGTAATATATGTAATATTATGTTATATTACATATTATAATTGGAGCAAGTATATTATAAATGGGGAGAGTGTGTGTGTGTGTGTGTGTGTGTGTGTGTGTGTGTGTGTGTGTGTGTGTATACAAGCCAGTGCCCGCTTTGCCAGGATTTAGACATGGCATCCCTGCTCCACCCAACCTTGGTTTTCTCAACTACAAAATAAACATGGCTAGTTCTGTAGTCCTTCCTCCTACAAGATATTTTCCAGACCTTTTATTGCTGATCACTATAAAGATTATAGTCTGTGTTTTTTAAAGAGCCTCTGTAGAATAAGTTGCTCATTCTGAAATTATAAAAGTCCTACTATCAGAACATGATTCTTCACGTCTAACCTAAATATCTCCAACTGCAATCTCAAGTAATTATTTCTGGGTCCATCCACAAAAGAGACATAAAATAGCCAGTTGTCTGCATGAGGATATTTTACATTCTTAAAGGTCATTATTTTCTCCCTATTTTTCCCTCTCTCATATAAATATTTCTAGTTCTAGTAAATTTATCTCCTCACTCACCAGTGATTTCTGCAGCTCCTCTTTGATCTAGATCCAAGTTGCTGCTGAGTTTAGGACTGTATTCAACTAGGAGGTCAAGCTCAGGCTTAAGCAAAAGGAGGCTATTGGCACGGACTCTTGTTAGGTTTTGTTCCCAGGAGTGCAACAAAATAGGAACTACTGTTTAATGAGTGCCTACTACGGGCTTGACACCCTGCTGGGTGCTTCATGTACAGGTCTCTAATCCTTCATTTTCTCTGGAAAGGTTTTGACTCCTGTGTTATAAATGAGTTCCTGGTTTAGAAAGGGTAAGTAGCTTGCCAAAGTTACAGGGCTAGCGAGTGGCATTTGAAACCAGGTATGCCTAATTCCAAAGCCTAACCATTTTCTACAACACTTAAAATATAATAAGTCTTTCCCAAGGTACAGAAACATCCACCTACCCTCAGACCACCGTGAGCCAATAGGAAATACACAATGCTCAAGAATAACGTACGCTTTTCCCAAACGATGCAACATGTGGTTGTGCCAGTGCACATCTCTTAAATATACAGTGAGAAATCCTCACTCTACTCACACTCTGGTCATTATTACCCTAAACTCATTGCCTTGGAGTTTCAATCGGCAACTATAATGGCTTTTTAGATGGAAATTTAAGTCATTTAGCAACACACACAAAAGTGTTGGGTAGAAGTCCAAAAACATTTCAAGCTTGGCCCATGGCCCTTTCTCAAAAAAAAATTTTAAAAAAAAGCTAAGAATCGATGGGAAAGGGGTAGGAAAGAAGGACTTTGTGAAGGTGAAGAGAGTCAGAGCAGCCATTCTACTAGATATGCAACCAATAAATATTTGTCCAATAAACAAATAAGATAGCCAAATTGGTTTGAAAGAAGAGAACATGCCAAGTCTCCTTTTTTATAATAATCTTCATTCGGTGGCATTACCTACATTGCAGACCCACACATTGTTATTAAAAAGCTAATTTCAATGAGAAAGCACACTCACAGGAAGGTTGGGTGGTTTTTGTTTCTTTGATTTTTTTGTTTGTTTGTTAGTTTTTGTTTTGTCTAACTAGGGAGAAGATGCCCTAAGTAGATATTACAGGGATAGTTAGTAAAGTGTCAATAAGAATATAACTAGAATGTGGTACATTCTAGTTCAGTTTTCCCTGCCACAATTCCTCTCTTAAGTTTTGCAAGGCTTTCAGTCGTGAGGAAGAAGGTGGTCATTTGGGATCATGCTGATGCCTTCTATTACTAGGATAAAATCTTTCTGGAAAAAAGTTAAAAGCCTTCTTATAGGCTGAGCAATCCAAGTACCACAGCGAATTGGCATAATAACTAACTTACAATGTGCAAGTATAAGAATAGTATGGGCACGGGGAAATGTCAATTTGTAAATGACGTGTTAAAAACCAAATACCAGCTGGGCATGGTGGCTCACACCTGTAATCCTAGCACTTTGGGAGGCCGAGGTGGGTGGATTGCCTGAGCTCAGGAGTTTGGGACCAGCCTGGGAAACACAGTGAAACCCCATCTCTACTGAAAAAAAAAAAAATATACAAGAATTAGCCAGGCATGGCAGCATGCACTTGTAATCCCAGCTACTCAGGAGACTGAGGCAAAAGAATCACTTAAACCTGGGAGGCGGAGGTTGCAGTGACCTGAGATCGTGCCATTATGCTTCAGCCTGGGCAACAGGGCAAGACTTCATCTCAAAAAACAACCAACCAACAACAAAAAACAGACAGCTCTTCAATTATCTTTTGAACTTTATTCAGGTGCATTTCCTAATTAAGGAAACCCATGAATGACTTCATATGATGTATAGATCATTCTCACATGCCTCCCTGGCATTGTGTTAGTGAATATTATAACTACCATTTCTTCCTGTCTTTACTCAGTTTCTCAACTGCCTCTGACAAATCCCCTTTTCTCTGCCACCTGATTGCCCATACAGGTGAATAGCTCTAAGACAGATGAATAAGATAACTTGGCAAAGTGAGAAGTGCTTCATGGTAGCATATTCTCCTCCATAATCTATTTCCATCTAATTCTTCTCACTATTTACAGCTCAGCTTAAATTTTACCCTCCGTGTCCCATAAGCTATGCCCCACCATTCTCTTTATTTCCTTTTTATTTTCAAAAACTTTAGGTGGTTATATGCTATACCACAAAACAAATCCTATGCATTCTTTCTTGATTTGCTCTCTAAGTACTGAATGGATAATTCTCTTTTCTTCTTAATTCTATTGGTAAGTCCCCTGAGGGTATATACTTGGTCTTATATTTATTTCTACCACCCACAGACCTCTGTAAAAATCCTCTAAGTGCTCATTGATTGGAAGAGACATAAGAGGCTCTTGGACATGCTTTCTGAGCTGTGAACCTCAGTTTAAATGACTGGTTCAGGAATATGCTGTCAGGTTCTTCTAAAAACTGGACATTTGAAGGTTTTGAAAATAAATCAAGGAGCAGGGAAATGGAGGTGCAGAGAAGTAGATTGAATGCTGTGCTGACAGTCACATAACTAGTAAGAAGTTCGGCTGGGATTAAAGCTCAGTTTGCTTCCTGGAGTCCTTTATTTTAACCTCTGCCTCTTGACAGAAGACAACCAGCAGATGGTGTGAAAGTCAGTTTTGAGCATCAGTAATATGAGGCAGGAGTTACTGAACATCTACCGGAACTAGGGCCTTTATAACACTATAATTTATTCAGAGGATGTAGTAAATATTAAGGGAACTAATGAATACACAAATAACTTCTACATCATTCTTTTCACCCTGTCATTAGCGGTTATGATCTTCACTATATAGAAAGTGAAATAAAGGAAAGAAAACTTACATAATTTGTCCAAGGAACCAGAGCTACAGCCAGATACAAACCTATATCTGTCTTATTCCAATATTTTACTTTTTCTATTTTTGCCTCCCTAAGTTTCCAGAAGTTGAATAGTGAGTGAAATCATTCCTTCAAGTGACAAAGTTCTTTTAGAGACCATTTTATGATCTTACAAGGGTATATAATGAAAGATTATCAGGAAAGCTTCAAATACAGGGATATAAAATCAAAATTTGTTTGAATTATAGATATTCAATATATTCAATAGTAGATACTCATAATTTTTTTTTGTCGTCTTTGCTTGTAGAAGATAATTCTTTCAAGATCAGGGACAACTGATTTGGAGTCTACTCTGTGCTTCTAAATCTCAAATTCTGCTGAGAGTGGGACACCCTGGAACACTAGAACCCCGGCAACGCCCAGCCAAACCCACCTCCACCATGGGGGCCATGACTCAGTTGTTGGCAGGTGTCTTTCTTGCTTTGCTTGCCCTCCCTACTGAAGGCGGGGTCCTCAAGAAAGTCATCCGGCACAAGCGACAGAGTGGGGTGAATGTCACCCTGCCAGAGGAGAACCAGCCAGTGGTGTTTAACCATGTCTACAACATCAAGCTGCCAGTGGGATCTCAGTGTTCAGTGGATCTGGAGTCACCCAGTGGGGAGAAAGACCTGACCCTACCTTCAGAGCCCAGTGAAAGCTTCCAGGAGCACACAGTGGATGGGGAAAACCAGATTGTCTTCACACATCGCATCAACATTCCTCGCCGGGCCTGTGGCTGTGCCGCAGCCCCCGATGTTAAGGAGCTGCTGAGCAGACTGGAGGAGCTGGAGAACCTGGTGTCTTCCCTGAGGGAGCAATGTAGTGCAGGAGCTGGCTGCTGTCTCCAGCCCGCCACAGGTATGAGCTGGCAGCCCACCCAGTCCCACGCTGTGCAAATGTGGAGAAATAATAAGCATAGCAGCATCCATCGCTTGCTTTCAAAGTGGGCTCACTAGAAAACTAGCTTCCCAGAGTGTTCATTACAAAGAGATTTCACGTTCAAATAAATGTGGACACTGTAACCATCTCTCTCCTGCTTGGAGGAGTCCTGGCAACAACTGTTTCTCAGAGGGGTTTTCAGGCTCCAAGAAGTCCTGCTTTGAAAAACCCTATTTCACCTTAATTATAAGTTTCTAAAATGTATTTGACCATGAAATCTACCCACTTTCTACCCCAAAACCTATGAATATGCCATGAAATTTCTGTTCCAGAGAGCACTCTGATAGGTACTGATGTGACCCCATTACCTCGTTGTACAAATAGAGAAACTGAGGCCAAGAAGGAGGATGGGATTCCTGAAGGTCCTGCAATAAGGAGTTGAGTTCCTTACATCTCAGTATTCTTACAAATACACAGTGCTGCCTGTGATAGTGCTGAGCCTATAAAAATTAGGAAAAAGCTCCAATGTAATAGCTATTATAATGACAATCATGAGTTAAGCTACCTCTGTGTAACAGGCACTGTCATATTATCTCATTTAATCCTCCCAGAAGCCACTTTAAGGTAAAGGTTAGATAAGGAAAGATAAGACATCTGCAGATCAAAGAAATGAAACTCAAAGGCATTAACTCACTGGCACAAGATGATAGGAAGAGTAATAAGAGATATGGGCTTAAGCCAGGCTTGGTGTAATCCCAGTACTTTGGGAGACCAAGGTACGTGGATCACCTGAGGTCAGGATTTGAAGACTAGCCTGACCAACATGGTGAAGCCTTATCTCTACTAAAAATACAAAATTAGCTGGGTGTGGTGGTACATGCCTATAATGCCAGCAACTCAGGAGGCTGAGGCAGGAGAATCACTCAAAACCGGGAGGGAGAGTTTACAGTGAGCCAAGATCACACCATTGCACTCCAGCCTGGGTGACAGAGCGAAACTCCACCTCAAAAAAAAAAAAAAAAAAAAAAGAGAGAGAGAGATAGGGGCTTTGCATGTACCTGTGTGTCTCCAGAGCTCATACTCTCCCATGGATGCCCTGTGTCCACATGCATCCCATTTCAAGGAATTTTGCTGCTTTTGAACTATGTCTTTATCTCCAATACTAAAGTTGATAAAACTACAGGAGTTTCAACAACTTCAAATCAGAGCTGAAAGTCTCTGTTTCTGCCACTCAGAAAAAAATTACCAAAATGTTCTTCAACAATTATTTCAAGAGTAGACCAAACCACCCTAAGTGAAATACTCTTACGGCTCTGCAGGACAGGCTCTAGGTGTCTAGGAGATTTTTAAAAACATTTTCTTTAGACATAAGTTTATCTTCCACACTGTCAACTCCCTAGAAAAATGCAGATGAGAATACACAGTAGGAATAATGCTAAGTAGTGATTTAAAATGATCGCTTAAAGCAGTGCTGTCTAATGAAAATATGAGACACATGTAATCTTACATTTTCTAGTGGTCACGTTAAAGGAGAAAGAAACAGGTAAACATAATTTTAATCATCTCTTATTTAATTCAACATAGCCAAAATATTTTTTTTCGGCCTGAAATCAGTGTAAAAATTATTAATGGATATTATACAGTCCATTATTTTATACTATTTGGAATCCGATGTGTATTTTACACTTACAGCACATCTCAATTCAGACTAGCCATGTTTCAATGCCTAATAACCACATGTGGCCCAGGCCACCAAATAGTACAGATTTAGATTCTCACTTTACAAATCAGCTTTTAAAAAAACTTTCTTTCTTCCTGCTTTCAAGAAGGAGATGAAATATATTAATACAGCTGTTTGTAGGTACAGAGAATGTAGAGTGAGTACGTTCTAGTTCAGAAACTATAGAAGTGAGTTTTCTTTCTTCCCCTTAAGCTTCATGGAGATCAGACCAGTGACTTCTGCAAACTGAGCTAAGGCAATATTTAGGCCTCAAGGGGCTGAAGTAATGTCAACCTTGACCCCACATTCTTCACATTGACCTCCAATTAGCCTTCAGGATAGAAAGAAAAAGAAGATAAAGGCAGATACTTTTCTGGGGACAGAGGCAAACTGAAAGGTGTTCATAGAGAATCAGAAAGCCACACTTTAGCTACCTCAATTTAGTTGTGGAAAATTAGAATGTTTTGGTTATATAAACCCACATACCAACTTGAGCCAAACTTCCACAAAAATACTTTGGAAAAGAAAACAGAAAAAATTACAAGGACACAAAAGTGAGCTCTTAATGTGTTCACTTAACTCAGATATACCCCAGGGAAGTGCGCTGTTGGCCCAACTTCACCTATAAGAAAACTGAGCTCCAGATAGTCTAAATCCCTTCCCAAATGTGGCATAGATATTGAATCAAAAAGTCAGAATTATATTCAGTTCAACAACTATTTCTTGGGCATCTTTTATGTGCCTGGTCTTGACGAGGCTCTAAAGAAATAACATAGCCCAGCATAATGCATTCCAGAAGGCAGTGACTCATAATCATCACAAGGCTTGTAAGACTTCTTGAAAATGTGGCAAAAACTAAGAATCCACTCCCTGAGGGTAGAAATACACACACACCTACACATAATCACACACTGTCTTTGCATACAAGCCTATCATTTCGGGGAGTCCATATTATGAATTCCTACCTGGTGTAAGTGGATGTGAGTCTCATCTGATTTCACACACTAAACAACTGGTTATCAAGCCACATGGAGCCTGAGGGTGCAACGATCCTTCAGCTGAATTTGATTCTGGGTGCCCTGGGTAGATACCAAGAAATGTGGCTGTTGAACCTGGCTGAGAACTTATTTCTTTTGTTGCAGGCCGTGTGGACACCAGGCCCTTCTGCAGCGGTCGGGGAAATTTTAGCACTGAAGGATGTGGCTGTGTCTGCCAATCTGGCTGGAAAGGCCCCAACTGCTCTGAGCCCGAATGTCCAGGCAACTGTCACCTTCGAGGCCAGTGCATTGATGGGCAGTGCATCTGTGATGAGGGCTTCACGGGTGAGGACTGCAGCCAGCTGGCTTGCCCCAGCGACTGCAGTGACCAGGGCAGGTGTGTGAATGGAGTCTGCATCTGTTTCGAAGGCTACTCTGGGGCTGACTGCAGCCGGGAAGTCTGCCCGGTGCCTTGCAGTGAGGAGCATGGCACGTGTGTAGATGGCTGGTGTGTGTGCCACGATGGCTTTGCAGGCGATGACTGCAGCAAGCCTCTGTGTCTCAACAATTGCTACAACCGTGGGCGATGCGTGGAGAATGAGTGCGTGTGCGATGAGGGCTTCACGGGCGAGGACTGCAGTGAGCTCATCTGTCCCAACGACTGCTTCGACCGGGGCCGCTGCATCAATGGCACCTGCTACTGCGAAGAAGGCTTCACAGGTGAAGACTGTGGGAAACTCACCTGCCCACATGCCTGCCACGGCCACGGCCGGTGCGAGGAGGGGCAGTGTGTGTGTGATGAGGGCTTTGCCGGTGTGGACTGCAGTGAGAAGAGGTGTCCAGCTGACTGTCATAACCATGGCCACTGTGTCGACGGGCGGTGTGAATGTGATGATGGTTTCACGGGAGCTGACTGCGGGGAGCTCAAGTGTCCCAATGGCTGCAGTGGCCATGGCCGCTGTGTCAATGGGCAGTGCGTGTGTGATGAGGGCTATACTGGGGAGGACTGCAGCCAGCTGCGGTGCCCCAATGACTGTCACAGTCGGGGCCGCTGTGTCCAGGGAAAATGTGTATGTGAGCAAGGCTTCAAGGGCTATGACTGCAGTGACATGAGCTGCCCCAATGACTGTCACCAGCACGGCCGCTGTGTGAATGGCATGTGCGTCTGTGATGACAGCTACACAGGGGAAGACTGCCGGGATCGCCGATGCCCCAGGGACTGCAGCAACAGGGGCCGCTGTGTGGATGGACAGTGCGTCTGTGAGGACGGCTTCTCCGGCCCTGACTGTGCAGAACGCTCCTGTCCGAATGACTGCCATGGCCAGGGTCGCTGTGTGAACGGACAGTGCGTGTGCCATGAAGGATTCACGGGCAAAGATTGCAAGGAGCAAAGATGTCCCAGTGACTGTCATGGCCACGGCCGCTGTGAGGATGGCCAGTGCCTCTGCCATGAGGGCTTCACAGGCCTGGATTGTGGCCAGCGCTCTTGCCCCAGGGACTGCAGCAACTTGGGGCAGTGCGTCTCAGGCCGCTGCATCTGCAATGAGGGCTACACCGGAGAAGACTGCTCAGAGGGTGAGTCCCAGGGCACGGACCAGCATGATGATGGCTGTGATGGAGTGGACACCTAGTGTGGGGTGGAAAACTACGTTTAGATTTATAAACATACATACACACTGATTCTTCGTACATATCAATATATCCATTTAAACACACCCCCATAATGACTCTTTAAGGGGGCCCTGTCATGCAGTTGTTACAAGGTGACCTGTTTAAGGGCTTGAAGGGCTCAGAGAGGTAATATAATTGTCTCAGGGACACAGCTGACACATCACAGCTGGTATTCGAGTCTGCCTAACTCATCTACAGGAGTTTAACATCTATTATCCAAGATGAGGTAAAGAAATAACCTCTCTTTTGCTAAACATTAGCTTTCCTTCCTACTCTCCACTGACATCAAACCAACAGTAAACAAAATCTCTTTATTTGAATGGTCTTAAAAAAATCAGCTAAATTGAATATGCAGTGACATTACATAAAAACAACTATTTCAAATGCATACTCAGCTAAAGACAAAATGCCTATTATCCACAAGATTGCCTGCCTTTTAATTGTCTTTTGTTACTGGTTTTGTTTTTGTTTTTTATTGTTTTTTTTAATCCTAAAGTCTGTAAGCTCCTTATCCTTAAAAGGGCACTATTTCTAGCAGTTAGTGTGCGGTCTAGCACATAGTAAATGCTCAGTAAACCCTGGTTAAATGAAAACACAGGAGAGAAAAATAATGCCCATGTTTAATGAGTGTCTTCTTTGTACTTCTCTCTTCCACCCATATTATAATTGTCATAATGGAAAATTTTTGCCTTTACTAAAGTTACTGGTATCTAGACATAAATAAATGGCATTGCATTCAATGGGGCCCAAGCAGGGAAGCCTGGTTGGAAAGAACACCAGGCTGGCAGGGAGGAGATCTAAGTTCTAAACTTGATGAAGTGAGCAAACTTGGTCAAGTCATTCTGCCTTACCCACATCTGTAAAATAAGAACGTTGGATCAGATGAGCCCAAAATACCATCCCACTGCTAGGGACATGTAACTGGGTTCAGAACAGGGAGTCAGGCTAAGACTGCACTTTCCCATCCCAACGGCCTGCATCTGAACTAAGACCCAGGGAGTAGAGAAAGTTAGAGAGGCTGGAACACCAAAGGCACATGGCTGACCTGGGACTCCAGCCTGAAGTAAATGGACTAAGGAACAGCCACCACAGGTCTTAAGATGGATCACAGCAGGGGGTCATTGATGCTTTCTGCATTTTAGAGACAATGGAAGATCTTCAGTCCTCTGTGGCTGATGGTGGAAGAGACAGATTAAGAGAAACAAACCTAGAGGGATTTTATAGGGCACACTGTTGAACCAAGATGTCCTTTGTTATTCCTGCCAGTGTCTCCTCCCAAAGACCTCATCGTGACAGAAGTGACGGAAGAGACGGTCAACCTGGCCTGGGACAATGAGATGCGGGTCACGGAGTACCTTGTCGTGTACACGCCCACCCACGAGGGCGGCCTGGAAATGCAGTTCCGTGTGCCCGGGGACCAGACGTCCACCATCATCCGGGAGCTGGAGCCTGGTGTGGAGTACTTTATCCGGGTATTCGCCATCCTGGAGAACAAGAAGAGCATTCCCGTCAGTGCCAGGGTGGCCACGTGTGAGTGAGCAGAACTCTTTTGGGCAGCCTCACCTGACCTCAGCCCTCCCTCGCCACGGCCCCTACCATCCTATAGTCGTTTGTTATAGCTACACCAAGTAAGAGCCTAGAATTAGGTCCACAGAATCACTTCTTAAAGAAATACCTTGTTTTCCATAAAATCTTTCTCTTTGCTCTCCTATATGCTTCCTGCCAGAGAGAATCATTACAAGTAACACTTAGCGTGTGTTTGCTATGTACTAGACTTTGTTGTAAGAAGTCTACATATAAGAGACCTCATTTGGCTGGGTGTGGTAGCTCATGCCTGTAACCCCAGTACTTTGGGAGGCCGAGGCAGGTGGATCACCTGGGATCAGGAGTTCGAGAC